AAAATGAGAACCAATACGCACACTCCACCTCATCCATTTTGACTGTGTTAGGGATCTTGACATTATATAAATGATTTCTTAAGTCCAGGTATCATAGAGCACAGCCCTTGACATCACACAGCTGCAGAGATGGATAACCAAGGAGTAATCTACTCTGAAATGAATCTGGCCAAAAGTCCAAAGAGGCAGCAAAAGAAATCTAAGGACACTAAAAGCTCCATTTCAGAAATCAAACAGGAAATAACATATGCTGAATTAAACCTTCAAAATGCTGCTCAAGATCTTCAAAGAGATGATAAATCTTACCACTGCAAAGGTAAAGCACGTAATAACTCCTCCATATAACTGTTCTAGGAAGTGCAGTTGGGGTGCAATGGTGTGGGGAAAAAGTAGGATGTGCTCGCATAGTTTTAGTCATGGAAATAAGAGTTCTAAGTTGAGATATGGTATTTAATATGAAATATGCATATGAATTTTACACATCATTGAAATTCGTAGTCTTTGTGCAACACTCATGGAGCACCACATTTACTGAAAATGCAATGGTATATTCTGAGAGAAAGATTACTGTGGTAGATGTGGGTTTGAGGTCCAATTTTATCTATGATTCCCTGTTTATGTGGGCTCTCTTGTACGTAAATATTCCAACCAACCTTCTCTGTCTCTCCTTTCTCAGTGTTTCTGTTTCTCGCCCTGCAGATTTACTGTTACCTCCAGAGAAGCTCATTGCTGGGATCCTGGGAATCATCTGTCTTGTCTTAATGTCCACCGTGGTAACAAGAGTTGTCATTCTCTGTATGTAGGTTTTGGAAAAATAAAAGGGAAGTTTAACAGTTAATGTTTGGAAGTGCCTCTAAACATTTCATAGTATCAAGGAATAGAAGTCACATTTTAACATATATTTTGGACTAAATGAGCAATGGTTAATCTGAATTTTTCAAAAGTATAGATGAAAGAATAATTGTAGAGACTCTTTGCTTTTAATAATATGTATATATTCGAACTTCATAACTCAAAGACATGTTGTAGGAGACTGAAAAACTTACCAAGAAATAGAAATTTTTGAAAGTGGTTAAATCAAATACTTACTGTATCGTAATTTATAGTATAGACAGAGATGGTAGTTTGGTTTTAAAAGCTTTGTAAGGATTTTTTCCCCCAAACTTTCACGACTTTATTATTTTTTTTTGCTAAAATCAATTTCAATTTGGATAATTCTAATTCTAAATGATAACATCAAATTTCAAACAGAAACTAAAATTATTGTGATTTATTCAGATACTAATTTTTAATAAGGATTACTTTAATTTTTTTAGCTACAGAAACAAAGAAGCAGAACAATTCTTTCCATGATGAAAGAACTCAGAGAGGTACTGATATTAGTTGTCTTATGTATTTTCTTGATCTTAGGCTGTGTAAAAATGATAATAGATATTTTGGGGGGCAATGACTTAAATATTGGGCAATAAATATTCATAAATAAAGATTATAGGAGGGCATTCCCTTTTCTTCAAAAAATAAGTAAAAATACTCATTTATAATCCCAATACCTCTTTTTGCTATTTGACTCAAATTACTACTGCAATCATTTGATAACAGTTAAATAATTTTGCTATTATGAAAAAGTGGTTTTGTTGAGTGTTTTTTCGGACAGAGGCAGGGTGGATTTATGTTTTATGTGGCAATATAATTGGGCAATTAGAGACTGACTTCTTGTGAGTGTATATGAGTGAGCAAGTGTGTTTTACATGTTACCAGCTTATCTAGATGCATAGATATGTTACGTGCATATAAGTTTATAAACCCTTACAAATACATAGATTGGTTTTTATTTTTAAAAATTCATACTCTTTCCGGATAATAATTCATAATTTTTCCTCAGCATATCACTGTGGTCGTTGTCCAGAGGAGTGGTTCACATATTCCACCAATTGTTATTACATTAGTAAGGAATTCAAAACTTGGGATGAGAGTGTGACGGCCTGTGCTTCTAACAATTCTAATCTGCTTTACATAGATAATGAAGAAGAAATGGTAAGATGTTGTATGTTTCAAGCACTTTATTAATAACTCATTGCAGTCAATATTATATTTGTAGAATTCATTAATATTTATATACACACAATTAGCTTATTTACTTTCAAACCTGTAAATATTCCATTGATTGACCTCACAATAGTTTATTTATATTTATATGTTGCTAGTGCACATTAAATTATTTTTAGTTCTTGCTTCTCACAGAA